CATGCTTTCAGTAGTATAAAAATGCGTTCATTTACCCACATTTACTAATCTATATATTTTATAATTGTTCGTAAGGAGTAAACTTCAGTCGTGCGCCGGAACTGACAAACTCACTTTTTATTTTTCAGAACAATTCTTTTTTTAATGTTATTTATAAGAATTATGCAAACAATATTCTAAAAAAATATTATAATTAGGCTCGTTACTATTAAGATTATATGAGAGATAAACGAAAATAATCCACTTTAAATTCTCCCTTCCGTCATTAGTACCTATGAGCTGCATCAACCAATTATAGAATTATAGCAATACCTAGTAAAAAAAACATGCAGCTTAAAATCAAGACATACAAAATCAATAGGTGAGTACGCCCATTCTAGAGTTTTTCAAATAAATCAAAGATAAACATCTTTTAAAACAAATTTTACAAAATATGAAGTACTACTAAGTAGCATTTGAAGTAAATTATCTTAATTTCTCATATAACCTTAATTCTCGTAATTTAGTTACGAGAATAATTATAATAATTTTGTAAAGTATGAAGGGAAGATGTATGAATTCATTATTGCACACGTTTCAGCAGTACGCACGTAAAATATGGTACTTGAAACTATAGCGTATCCTATTCCTATTCCAACAATACTAAACTTTATGCGTACTTGATACTTTATGGACTAGGTGGAACAGGTATTTGGATCGAGTATTTATACGGAATTGGACTAGGTGCACCTAGTACGAAATTTACCTAGTACGACTCATCTCTACTGACCGCTAAATGAGCGGCGAGCTTTTTCTTTGCGCCCGAAGCAAATATGGGCAAACCTCCGGAAAGCGGGGGAGGTGGGGAATGCTCATAGCATACCACGCAGCCGGCTGCGTGGTTATATGGAGACTTTTACCCACTAAACCCCGCCTTTAACAACTTCGCTGCCAGCTCCGCGAATTAGCGGAGTGCGGGGTGAGCGCGGGGTGCCGGCTCCGCTAATATGCGGAGTAGTGCCGCTTGGTTTCTACGAATTAGTACGCGCCCGGCACTGCTTACACTTACCAAAGGTATGAGAATTTAAGCAAACTACTATTTTCTTTGTGTTTAAATACCATAGATAATTTTAACATTTTAACAATAAAAGAAAATACTCCGCAAAATTGCGGACTTGGCACTGGGGTTGAAAATGTCAATCTTAGTGCCAGGTCCGCAAATTCGCGGATTTTTTTTATTTAGCATTTTCTTACCAAAACCTTCTAAAAATAGTTAAATATTTCTAAAATAACAATATTGAAACGTCCTTCATGCATATTTAAAAAAAAACCACGGATTTTCCTATGATGTCACCATATTCCAGTTGGCAGCGAAGCTGTTAAGAATTGGCTTACTGATCTGACGAAAGATCTCTAAGCCGTATACGAACGCGACCCTCCTTGGCAGAAAGGAGGGCGCAGAGCGGCGAGCCAAAACGGCTGCTATTTGTACACGCCGACACAACCGCTCTCCACCAAAGTAGTGAGTGACCGCGTCGTGATATGTTAAACCTGAAACTAATTATCATTGTTATTATTTTTTATATTATTAATTTTTTAATATATTATTATTATGGTTTTCCATTGCTATTATTATAGTTATTTATTATAATTAATTTAGAGATTGGCCTTAAAGATGTTTAACAAAGGTGAATTAGAAACATTTATTTGTTCATTAAGCAGTGCATTGTTACCATTATTATTTTTTAAAATCTCCAACTATTCCAGCACACACATTCGCAGCTTGTTACAAGTATGTAAGACTTCAAAGGAATGGTTGTTGGCTAGGTTGTGTCCAGTGTCCAAGAGATGTTTAGCAAAATGGGATTTACCAGGATTGCAATTTCTGTACGCGGCTAAATGCTCTTTATAACGCGTCCCGAAATTGCGACCAGTCTGACCCACGTAAACGGCGTGGCATTCGTCACAAACAAGTTTATTAACAAGGAATTATAATTCCGCATCCCTTCTTATTTTCACGTACAACTACGCAATGCAAATTACAAATTATAGCTGGGAAATGTGTATAAATTAACAATATTGTTCGAGATACCAGTCACCGTTATAACTATTACATCTAGTGGATAGGTACAGTTATGGATTAGTTGTTGCAGTTTATTAAAAAAAAATATAAGTGATCTAATATTAAAGTGATATACATGAGAAGTTCATAAAACTTTTAGGAAGCAATTGTTGAAAAAATTGATTAGGAATTTCATTTACTAGTGTATCCATTTTATTTGAATTTATTGACCAATGAATAAACATGGGTATAGATGAGAACTTTACAATATTGTGAATGAAGGTGACCCGGGTTGTTTATCAGAAAGAGATGAACTTCGTTTTATAATTTGATTCATGTCATGCATAGTGCGAATATAATAAATTTTGCTGTTGTCAGTTTTTCGAGCACATACTTTCCCATTTTTACACCATACACACTTACAAGACTTATTCAATAGCTGCGACTTAGCTTTAAACAGAAGTGTTTTCTGATACTTTGTTAGGGCTTCTCTTATAAAAATGCGTTCATCAGCCTTCTCCTTTGAAATGTTCATCCCTGCGGTGAGACACTCGTCCTTGCCAGCATCTGTCCACTATTGCTGCAATATCTTAGACTTTAGCTCCACAAGAACTGATCTCGGTTTGTCCTTTGACCCTTGCAACCGTTGAGCTGACTGCACATCCTTTTTATCAACGTCCAATTTAGCGGCAACAGTATCAATCATCGCATTTACCTGGCTGGGCATTTCCACTGGTAATCCGGCAATTTCCAGCGAGGTAGAGAGTCTTTTGTTCAAAATCTCTAAGTCCCTGATCTAAAGTAGATACCCGAAGTTCCAAATTCTTCTTTTTGTTCACAAAGTCATAATTCTTATTTTCAAGTTCTTTGATACTAGTGTCTTGTTTTTTTTTTATTGATTGTTCCATAGTGGAAAGTTGTTTACTTAGAAAATCGAGTGATTTCTCAAGGTTCCCGATCTCCTCACGAAAGGTTTTTTTTACCTCGCGACTGATGTCTTGTACCAACTTTCTCGCATCTATAACTTGTGCATTTCCCGTGTTTCTAGGATCGCAGCCTTCATCATCGCCATCATCGTCGGGATCACGAACGATGACCTACGAGAAATGTTCCTTAGGTACTCTTCACAACTCCACTCTATGCCGGATGAATTCTTGAGGGTGTTTAACTGTTTGTTGGATAACTTTGAACAGACAGGATCCGCGTGAACTATTTGATCGCATCTACTGCACTCTAGTCGAGGCAGGCACTTTTTTGGTGATGTTTTTCTTACATTTAGCACACTACTTGACAACCATTTTAGATTACGGGTGGGTACAACTTTTGTCGCTAATCGCGTGCGTCTCTTCGCGTTGGTGTCCAACTTGTAAACTGATGTAGTAATGGGATTGAAATAGGAAAAAAAATGATTCAAACGAAAATAACACTAATATTTTAAAATTTCCGGAGAAAATTTTACAACCAATCACCGAAACTTCAACTTAAGATTCCACACTCACGGTCAGTTTTTGGATGTACGTCAGTTCAACTGATCATTTTAACCGACCGTGTGTGACGTCCATAAGTTGATATTTTCAACAGACAACTCACGAATTTTTTCGGTCGCACTGTCAGTTGAAACTGCTCAATCGAACTGACGTAAATTCAAAAATGATCGTGAGTGCGAAATCTTAAGTTGAAATTTTTAACTGATAGCTCTCCACAGAGTTTTCCAGGCGCGCCGTAATCCGCTGGCTTCAGTTCGTTGTGTGTGGCGTCCATTACAGTGACGCTTACCGTCAGCGCGAGTGGTTAGCGCGCGGATGACCCGTTCGAAACTATAAAACGAGCTTAGAGTCGCGCGGTTTGCTGCCTCGTAGTCGTGATCGGTTTGTCGTGATGAGGCTTCTCGCGTTTATTATACCAGATTACTTATGGAAAAAAAGGCAACGACGACGACGTATACAAGTACATCTTTACATTACCACTAGACTGCTGGGAGGCGTGTACTCTACATCGTTTACTGTTGAAAGGCGCGGCTGAGTTGCCGCAAGCGCGGGCCATTCGCGTGTGTTGGTAAAACTATGTAACGATCCAAGAGACGTAACGCTCGTGGCCCGCGACGCTTATCAGCCGCACTAGCGAAAGCGTCACTGTAAAATCACACTACCCCCGATTTATTCGCCTTAATATTTTTTTATTGGTTTTGTCACAACAAAACACTACAATCCAAAGTACTACTACGAGAAGTTGAGAGCGGCTTTTGAAGTTCAGATTGCTGCATGTATTGACGAGAAATAAAAACTAGTGTGATGTACGTAAAACAAGCTTTATTAATAGATATGTTTGAATGCCAATGTTTACCTAGTTGTCAGGATCATTTGGGACAGTAGAGCCTAAATGACAATCGCAAGCACGAATTGTTGCGAGCTAACGGGTCGTAAAATGGCTGGCAAAGCACCCACAACTCCCCTGGTATTGCAGCTGTTCGTGGACGGTGGTTGACACTTTACATCAGGTGAGTCGCATGCTCTATCTCCTCTTCTAAAAGAAAACTGTCACATGTCTTTATTGCCATAATATACAAAGGACATGGAAGTAGCGCAATTTTAATTACTAAATTTTAGCATTACAATCTTTGCTCATAATCAAATAAAAACTATATATGAATTATGTACTTATTTAAGTACATAATTTATTTGAATAGTTCTAATTTCCATTGTATTGATTGGATGATATTTGTACTCCAAATTAACCCAAAATTGCATGACTTAATTTGTGAATGTTATGTACACTTGTTATTGATATACATATCAGAGAGTATAGAAATGTGTATGCTTTCGTGATTGTCATATATGTGTATTGTAAGTGTACTTGTTAAATAAAATAAAATAAAAACTCGCTTTTTAAGTAATTTATTTTAAATGCATACAATAATAACTACAGAATGATTCTAAATATTACATATAAATTAAAATGTCTACTTCTTTGCTGCAGCCTTTTCTCGTGCCTTCTTTCCTTCCAAGAGCTTCATTCTGTCATCTTCGCTAAGATTTTTATTTATTTTAGTGATGACACCAGTTCCTAATGTCAAATCTCCCAATCTTAAAGTGAATCTTTGACCCGCTTCACAAACCATTGGCTTTAGTAAACGGAGATGTAACCTGTATGAATAATTAAACAAGTGCTCATTTTTGTAAAATAGACTAGAAAACAATAAAAACACAAATATTTAAGTTTGGGAAATGTTACTTGTAAAAACTTTTATATTTCTAGTGACAATAATGGTTAAAAATAATTTTAGCATAGTTTTTATAGACTATAGTAAACAGAACTTTCTTATTACTATAATTATCCAATTATACTCACGTAGCGTCTTCACCAGGCATTACCATTTCTTTGTCTGGAATGTTTACTTGTGTAGCACAATCCCAAGTCATAGAAAACATTTGTAGTTGTATAAAGGATGTGAAGGGTTTTGACCGACCACCCTCTTCTTTACTTAATATGTACACTGCAGCTTCCAAATTGTCATGAGCTTTAACTGTACAAGGTTTTGCCATAACCATTCCACGTTTAATTTGTTCTCTCTTAATAGAACGCACAAGGGCACCCAATTGATCTCCAGCTTGAGCTTCTTCTAATGTTTTATGGAACATTTCAACTCCAGTAACAGTTGTTTTCATTACTTTACCATGACCAACAATTTCACATTCAGTACCTTTCTTTAAAACACCTATAAGTTAAAACAAATAAAATTAAACATAACAATTAAAAATACTCTGTATTAATAGTCCAATTTATAACTAAGAATGAAAAGGCTGATTATCGAGTTGTTTTAGTGTTCATTTATACGCACTACGCGGGTAACTGCAATGCGACTAGCCGTCAGACTGACCGCATGATACGGTTGCGAATGCGGCTACCCGCAATTCGGTTGGCCGCAAACCTGTGATTTGCGTTCGTATCGATTCATTTCATTTCTCATTTATAATATTCTGGCAATTTTCTGTTCTAAATTGTTGGCCGAATTTGAATTTCGATAATAAATTTCTCGGTATCCATCATAAACGTACACATAACGTATGTGCACACAATCTCACTCAAAGGCGGGCAGCCGCGAGCTGAGCCGCACAATGTGAATTAATGGTGGTTAATATAGCGCATAACGTCATATTATAACGCGCTATCTTTCCATAGCGCACATCGTGTTCTATAGCTTTGGGTCTCTTGATCGTAACTAAAGTTGTTCAAAACGACTATAAATCAATAGCACGCTATAGACTATAAACTATAAATTTCTAGCGTGTTATTAAATACGCTATGTTATAGCGCGCTATTTATAAAAAAGCGTGTAGGAGGCCAGTAAGCGCGTTAAGTTTTACAGCACATGTTATCTCTTAGCGTTACATTACATGTCGTTCATTGGATAGATCGCGTGCTATATAAGAACATTGTTTCGTAATATGTAAGTCGCATTTTAGACTAATATAAAATAAAGTGGTAAAGAAAAACCAATGCACGCGTTTTCATACTTTTCAGGCTTACTACTTTCCATAATCCTATAAATATTTTTAAGTTATGTACTATTTAGAATAGAATTAATTTTATTTTTAGAATCAAAATAAAATTAATTATTTTTTATTATAATTGATGTAAACGTTATTTTAATCTTAATATAAATTATAAATCAAATAATTGTAGTGTATTTAAAAGTTTATTTATTGTATTTATAAAAATCAATTGTTTACATACACTATTATATACACTTTTGTATCATATTTTATTTACATTTAAAAACATTAGTTAGGCTTCTTTTATCACAACTGTGCTGTGTCCTTTGATCATCTATAAATACCCAGTATACACTAACTAAACAACGTCTAACACTAAATTAGGTTGCGCGCGATGAATAGCGCGCTACGAGATCAAATTCGCTACACACGTCCTCTCCCAACAGCGCTGCTGCTAGAACTAGTTGTCGCTAGATATTAATACTTGATAGCGCCAAAGCGCCATAGCGCAATAGCGCCATGGCGACTACTTACATAACACGCGCTATTTGTTATGAAGAGATAGCGCGCTATAATATGGTGCTATGCGTTATATTAACCACCATTAATCGTAACGCACAACGCTGCGGTATGCGGTGCCGGACAACACATAATCGTATTAAAAACGTCTAGAATTGTCTCACAGTATGCGTTAGCGGCGAAGGGTAAGCGCGTTGAAGTGGGGAGCGGGTACCCCGCACTCTGCGCGGCGTCGTTCTCGTTGCGACGCTGCGACGTGCGTGACGGGTTGCCAATGGATTCGTTTGAAAATAATTTAATAGAATCAATGCTTCTTCGTCTTTTCAGAAGCAGTAGAAATTCTTCTTCCTCCTCCTCAAGTAAAGCACAAATTTCAAAATATTGTTCATACACGTCTGCTTTGGTGTCTGCGGGAAAATCAACTGACCACTTCTCTGCAGAGATGCTAAACGCTTTCATCGTGACGCTGCGTTTGAGCCGCATAGCGCAGCGTTGTGCGTTACGATCAAAACACCAAAGCTTAAGAAATTAAACGCCATGGCACTATGGCGCTTTGGTGCTATGGCACTATGTATATCTAGTGGAAACTAGATCTAGCAGCAGCGCTGGCATCTAGTTGTCGCGTGCGCGTGCGCGCTCTTGAGAGCAAATTTGATATAACAGCACGTCATTCATCGCGCGACCTAATTTAGTGACAGACGTTAGTTAGTTAGTGTATATTTATAAGTGATCGAAGGACACGGTTGTGTGCTACAAAAGTAGCCTAACTAATAATTTAAATGTAAATAAAGTATAGATAAAGTGTAAATAATAGTGTATGTAAATAGTTGATTTTTGTATATACAATCAATAAACTTTTGAATACGCCTTTAATTGATTTATAATTTATATTAAGGTTAAAATAACGTTTACATCGATTATGGACAGTTTTAAGCCTGAAAAGTATGAAAGAGTGTTCACTGGTTTCTTTTATTTTATTTTAGTCTAAAATGTGAATTATCACGAAATAATATTCTTACATAGCACGCGGTCCATCAAAAGAACGACATTTAATATAACGTGTTACGAGATTTAGCCTGTTGCAAAACTTTACGCGCTTGCCGACCTCCCTCCCACACGCTTTTTTTATAAATAGCGTATTTATATAGTGTGAACTGCGCCCTCCTTTCTGCCAAGGAGGGTCGCGTTCGTATACGGCTTAGAGATCTCTAGTCAGATCGTTAAGCCAATTACCAAAAGGTTGAGTTTAGTGGGTAAAAGTCTCCACATAACCACGCAGCCGGCTGCGTGGTATGCTATGAGCATTCTCAACCTCCCTCCCCCCGCTTTCCGGAGGGTTGCCCATATTTGCTTCGGGCGCAAAAAAAAAAAATATAGTGTGAATATAGCAACCATCCGTCTGACCGTCATTCGTACCACAGCCCTCCGAAATGTGAATAGCAACCACACGTCTGGCCGTCATTCGGACCGCAGCCCTCCAAAATGTGAATAGTAACCATCCGTCAGGCCGTCATTCGGACCGCAGCCCTCCGAAATGTGAATAGTAACCATCCGTCTGGCCGTCATTCGGACCGCAGCCCTACGAAATGTGAATAGCAACCATCCGTCTGACCGTCATTCGTACCACAGCCCTCCGAATTGTGAATAGCAACCATCCGTCTGGCCGTCATTCGGACCGCAGCCCTCCGAAATGTGAATAGCAACCATCCGTCTGGCTGTCATTCCGACCGCAGCCCTCCCAAATGTGAATAGCAACCATCCGTTTGGCCGTCATTCGGACCGCAGCCCTCCGAAATGTGAATAGCAACCATCCGTCTGGCTGTCATTCCGACCTTACTTTACCCCCGAAATCACACTTTACCCCCGATTTATTCGCCTTAATATTTTTTTATTGGTTTTGTCACAACAAAACACTACAATCCAAAGTACTACTACGAGAAGTTGAGAGCGGCTTTTGAAGTTCAGATTGCTGCATGTATTGACGAGAAATAAAAACTAGTGAAATGTCCGTAAAACAAGCTTTATTAATAGATATGTTTGAATGCCAATGTTTACCTAGTTGTCAGGATCATTTGGGACAGTAGAGCCTAAATGACAATCGCAAGCACGAATTGTTGCGAGCTAACGGGTCGTAAAATGGCTGGCAAAGCACCCACAACTCCCCTGGTATTGCAGCTGTTCGTGGACGGTGGTTGACACTTTACATCAGGTGAGTCGCATGCTCTATCTCCTCTTCTAAAAGAAAACTGTCACATGTCTTTATTGCCATAATATACAAAGGACATGGAAGTAGCGCAATTTTAATTACTAAATTTTAGCATTACAATCTTTGCTCATAATCAAATAAAAACTATATATGAATTATGTACTTATTTAAGTACATAATTTATTTGAATAGTTCTAATTTCCATTGTATTGATTGGATGATATTTGTACTCCAAATTAACCCAAAATTGCATGACTTAATTTGTGAATGTTATGTACACTTGTTATTGATATACATATCAGAGAGTATAGAAATGTGTATGCTTTCGTGATTGTCATATATGTGTATTGTAAGTGTACTTGTTAAATAAAATAAAATAAAAACTCGCTTTTTTAAGTAATTTATTTTAAATGCATACAATAATAACTACAGAATGATTCTAAATATTACATATAAATTAAAATGTCTACTTCTTTGCTGCAGCCTTTTCTCGTGCCTTCTTTCCTTCCAAGAGCTTCATTCTGTCATCTTCGCTAAGATTTTTATTTATTTTAGTGATGACACCAGTTCCTAATGTCAAATCTCCCAATCTTAAAGTGAATCTTTGACCCGCTTCACAAACCATTGGCTTTAGTAAACGGAGATGTAACCTGTATGAATAATTAAACAAGTGCTCATTTTTGTAAAATAGACTAGAAAACAATAAAAACACAAATATTTAAGTTTGGGAAATGTTACTTGTAAAAACTTTTATATTTCTGGTGACAATAATGGTTAAAAATAATTTTAGCATAGTTTTTATAGACTATAGTAAACAGAACTTTCTTATTACTATAATTATCCAATTATACTCACGTAGCGTCTTCACCAGGCATTACCATTTCTTTGTCTGGAATGTTTACTTGTGTAGCACAATCCCAAGTCATAGAAAACATTTGTAGTTGTATAAAGGATGTGAAGGGTTTTGACCGACCACCCTCTTCTTTACTTAATATGTACACTGCAGCTTCCAAATTGTCATGAGCTTTAACTGTACCAGGTTTTGCCATAACCATTCCACGTTTAATTTGTTCTCTCTTAATAGAACGCACAAGGGCACCCAATTGATCTCCAGCTTGAGCTTCTTCTAATGTTTTATGGAACATTTCAACTCCAGTAACAGTTGTTTTCATTACTTTACCATGACCAACAATTTCACATTCAGTACCTTTCTTTAAAACACCTATAAGTTAAAACAAATAAAATTAAACATAACAATTAAAAATACTCTGTATTAATAGTCCAATTTATAACTAAGAATGAAAAGGCTGATTATCGAGTTGTTTTAGTGTTCATTTATACGCACTACGCGGGTAACTGCAATGCGACTAGCCGTCAGACTGACCGCATGATACGGTTGCGAATGCGGCTACCCGCAATTCGGTTGGCCGCAAACCTGTGATTTGCG